CGGTCCCCGAGCCTCCGCTTGGTTTCCCCGATGTAGAGGAAGCCACATTGGGTACAGCGGATGCAGTATACCACATTGGCAGATGTGCAGGTGAACATCTGCTTGATGTGGAAAGTCTTCTTGGGGCCTGGGATGGGGGTGAGGGAGGAGGTATGGGGGCAGTTGTAGCACTTCCTGCGGTTGCAGGGAAAAGTGCCGGGTGTGGTGGAGCTGGAGGGGAGTGTGGAGCGGACAAGGGAGTCACGGAGAGAGTGGTCCCTCCGGAAAGCAGATAAGGGTGGGGAGGGAAAGATGTCTTTGGTGGTGGGGTCGGATTGCAGATGGCGGAAGTGTCGGAGGATGATGCGTTGGATCCGGAGGTTGGTGGGGTGGTACGTGAGGACGAGGGGGATTCTTTTTTGGTTCTTATTGCGTGGATGGGGTGTGAGGGATGAGGTGCGGGAGATGTGGGAGACACGGTTGAGGGCGTTCTCGACCACCGGGGGGGGATGTTACGGTCCTTGAAGAACGAGTACAACTGAGATGTACGGGAGTGGAATGCCTCATCCTGGGAGCAGATGCGGTGGAGGCGAAGGAATTGCGAATAGGGGCTAGCATTTTTGCAGGAAGGTGGGTGGGAGGAGGAGTATTCTAGGTAGCTGTGGGAGTCGGTGGGCTTGAAATGAATATCGGATTCTAGGTGGTTGCCCGATATGGAGACAGAGAGGTCCAGGAAGGGGAGAGAGGTATTAGAGATGGTCCAGGTAAACTTAAGGTTGAGGTGGAAGGTGTTAGTGACGTGGATGAACTGTTCGAGCTCCTCGTGGGAGCACGAGGCGGCGCCGATACAATCATCAATGTAACGGAGGAAGAGTTGGGGTTTAGGGCCGGTGTAGGTACGGAAGAGGGATTGTTCCACGTAACCTACAAAGATGCAGGCGTAGCTTGGGCCCATGCGGGTACCTACGCTCGGTTCGCAATAAACAACTGCACCTCCCAGTCGCGAACCATTTCAACTCCCCCTCCCATTCCTCAGACGACATGTCCATCCTGGGCCTCCTGCAGTGCCACAACGATGCCACCCGAAGGTTGCAGGAACAGCAACTCATATTCCGCTTGGGAACCCTGCAGCCCAATGGTATCAATGTGGATTTCACAAGTTTCAAAATCTCCCCTCCCCCTACCGCATCCCAAAACCAGTCCAGCTCGTCCCTGCCTCCCTAACCTGTTCTTCCTCCCACCTATCCCCTCC